CCTTTACTTGGTATCTCACATAAGGACCACACATAACGCTCGGACTCCTCAGGAAGCTCACTCCACTTACTGGGTGAATCTTGACAGAAGGTTTAGAGTAGGTAGAAAAAAGGCCGTTTTATTTTTTTAACCACAAAACCTGTGATTTGACCATTTTTCGAAACATCAAGTTACTTAATCTTCTATTTCTCTTTTTAAATCTCACTTTCACAAAGTCCTGGATTATAATCTTTCATATAAACTGAAATTAAAATATGTATCCTAATTTTTAAGAGTTATAGATTTAAAAAATGGAAATACTCTGAATTGTAAGAACGGTGGTTTTGAGCCTGTTCGTTTTCCAAACGCAACAACATAATGAAAATCTATTTGAAGATGGAGAAGATCCATTTATGACAGTGAAAACATTCAAAACACAAATACAACAAAACATTAGGAACAAGAAACGTGTAAATCCAATGTGTGAAAAATCTATACAACGCTCCCATCGCTCACAAAAGCTGAACAAATGGTAAAACATATGTGTTCTTGAACAGGCGCACAGAAAGCCTTAACATCATGAAAACACCAGCTCGCTCAATAATCTATATACTTACAGGAGTCTTCCCCCGAACAACACTGGGTGTCTTCCCTGCAACTAGAAAAATTGGTTTCAGAGTTTATGTGGAACAACAAGCAATGATAGCAAAACAACCAACCAACAACCGTGGTAACGGAGACAAATCAAAGGGAATGATCCTTAGTTTGCATCGATGCCAGCACTAAAGCAATGATACCGCCGCACACACATGCAAGAGAGGAGAGAACCGGAACAGAGGGTAACAAAACAGGCCTGACTGTGTGAGAATGTGACGAGGGCGCCACCTAAGCCCGCAGGACTGCGCCCCGGAGGCCCGCACCCCCCGCCGCACTCCAGAGGGCGCCCCGGAGGCCCGCACCCCCCGCCGCACTCCAGAGGGCGGACATGCTCTACCACCTGAGAGAGGGGAAAACAACCGCATTATTTCAACAAATGATATCAAAACAAAAAACAAAGAGGGATTCAAAGAGACTTGAAAGAACCTATAAACCAAAGGCAATGTGTAGATTTGAACTCTGATTCTAACCAACTGGAAGAAAAATTCTAAGACAATCAGGATAATTTAATTCCTGACTAGATATATGATGATAAGGAACTAATGTCAATTTTAAGATGTAATAATGGTATTGTAGTTTTGTTTTTCTTAAAAGCATTGTATAGCAAGGAAGGGTCTATATATGTAACAATTCTCCGATTTCTCGCTGAAAGTATTTAAATAAAGAATTGGGCCGGTCACAGTGGCTCACGCCTATAATCCCAACATTCTGGGAGGCCAAGACAGGCAGACTCCTCGAGTTCAGGAGTTTAAGACCAGCCTAGGCAACATGGTGAAATGCTGTCTCTACCGAAAATACAAAAAATTAGCCAGGCGTGGTGGCACACACTTATGGTCCCAGCTACTCAGGAGGCTGAGGTGGGAGGATCGCCTGAGCCTGGGAGTTTCAGACTACAGTGAGCCAAGACTGCACCACTGCACTCCAGCCTGTGTGACAGAGGGAGATCCCATCTCAAAAAAAAAAAAAAAAAAAGAATTGAAAACATAAATAGTATTAATAAAATGATTTAAAAGCCACAGTATTCTTAACAAAATGTCAGGTTTATAAGCAGTATCATTTTAAAATCACATTGCATGTATGCCTTGAATTCAGAAATGTGCATGCTTTGGATCTCATTATCTGAGTCTGAGAGGGCTCTGCAAATTACACCACACAGTGGATTCACAGTGTTTTCAAACACTGCAGACAGAGCCACTTGTAACTTGGAGACATGACTACAGCAGTAGTCAGAGGCCATGCAACAATTTTCAAAGTGGGGTCCAAAGAACCCTTTCCAGAGATGGAGGGAAGAACTGAGATGCGTTAAAAGAAAAAAATCATTATTTTAAAAATTCTCATAATTTATCTTGGGCCTACGTGGAAACATAAGAAATAAGTACACTTTGTTGGGGTTTGCAGTAATATATATTTTTTAATTTTGAAAACTTTTCTAATTTTTAAATTTTATCTAAGCTGTTTTAGATAATTTTATTAGATATACATTTTTATGTATATATACAGCATGTATTTTACTTACATATTTTAATACATATTTTAGATTATTTTGTAATTTTACAATATTCTATTTGAAAAGTAACATTTATTTTATAATGTATTTTCTTGTATTTAAGAATGGATCATTGGCTTTAATGAGGATTAAAAGATTCAATTTCTCATCCTACAGATGTTTCATCAAGAAAAGGTGCGGTGGCTCCTGCCTGTAATCCCAGCACTTTGCGAGGCCGAGGCGGGTGGATCACCTGAGGTCAGGAGTTCGAGACCAGCCTGACCAACATGGAGAACCCTGTCTCTATTAAAAATACAAAATTAGCTGGGCGTGGCGGTGCATGCCTGTAATCCCAGCTACTCGAGAGGCTGTGGCAGGAGAAATGCTTGAACCTGGAAGGCGGAGGTTGTGGTGAGCTGAGATCGCGCCACCGTACTCCAGCCTGGGCAACAAGAGTGAAACTCTGTCTTCAAAAAAAAAAAAAAGAAATCAAAGGAAAGAAAAGACGAAACTGGAAACTGACACATCAGAGAATTCTCTGACTCATGAGATGGAGACATCTGCTACAGACAAAAAATGTGAGGAAAGTTATTTTTCCCTTGCCTTTACAGATGTTAATGATTTGCCTTATTGTGTCTTACGCAACAATATTTCAAATACTATCATGGTGCGAGTTAACTGCCACACCAATTTGAGGCCAATCATTGAGAATCTAAAGAAAAAATTAATTTAAATGCAGATGTGATAAATTAACATGTCACCAACAGAACTGTACTTCTGCCTTACAACAGAATCTCTGGACTTACTGTATTCCTTGTACTTGTCTGGTATCAGCACCAACTAAGCACAGAAGCTCTTTTATATGAAAGTTGGCCACACACACAAGTGGTAAGGAAATACTTAAATTACTGAATAACTATTTTGAATCTCCTCGCTTTTCCTGGAACAACTGTGTTGACGTTTGCACTGATAGCGCAAAAGCAACGGTGGGTAACGCAGCTGCGTCTCGGTGGGAATCAGAGCAGAGACAGTCCTCACACTACTCTTCACCACCACACACACACAGTAGAAACACCGCGCTTTCACATACGAATGTTTGATGAAGCAGTTTATCATACCGATTTTATTAAACTGCTGCCCTCAAGGATACTTTTTAAAAAGAATTCTGTATGGTGAAAAGGAAAGTGTGTATAAAGCACTTCTGCTTCATAATAAAAAACGACGGTTGCCTGGAGAAAAGGACTCCACCTGTACACCTGCACAACTCTTTCAGCGGTAGACTCACCTGACCACTTTTTGTCATGGAAATTGACTTGAAAGAATGACTAGCAGACAGGCAGTGGTTAGTCACATTTTGGGATTAGGCACATACTTTCTCAATAATTTGCAAAGTGACTCAGTCCCCTCAGGAAAATGACTGATAGTGTTTGTAGCCCATGATAAATTTTAGCTTTTAAGCAGAAATTAGGATCTTGGAAAATCTATGTTCACCAACATAAGCTTGACAGCTTCCCAATACTTAAAAGTCGTTTCTGATGAGGTGGCACTAATGATAGGTTTTGATATTGCATAATGAAATATGTCAATGTTTGGAAGATATACATAACTCAATTAATGAAGATTTTCCAAATGAACCCTGCATAATGCTGCAAAATTATGTGTGTAGGCAAAAAAGATCCACTGAAAGTGCAAGACAGACCAATGGGTTTTAATGTAACAGAGTATGGAAAGTTAACTGATACAATTTCAGATTCCACATTGCAACTACCCTTTAAAAAATGACCATTTTCAAATTTTGGTGAACTATCAAAGCAGAATTATCTACAACAATCTGCGATGGCTATTAGAAAATTCCCGCCTTTCCCAACTACTATCTATGTGGGACTAGATTTTCTTCATACACTTCAACCAAAACAACACATCCCACCAGAAGCAGATATGAGAATTCAGCAGCCTTAGGGCAGAAAATGAGACTTGCAAAAATGTAAAAACAATGCTGCTCCTGTCAAAATTTTTTTTTTTTTTTTTGCCTTGGAAAAGAGCATTGTCTTTCATGAAAATATGCTATTTGTGTTAATGTGTAATGAAATTATTTTTATTTTTTAAGTGAAGAAACAGATTTTTAAAAATTTAGTTTCAAATATGATAAATATTAATAAGTGTTTAACAGATTTAAAAAAAAACTCTTGGGAATGTATGAACACAAAGAAGGAAACAACAGATGTGGGGGCCTACCTGAGAATGGGTGGGAGGAAGGAGAGGAGCAGAAAAGGTAACTATTGGGTACTGGGCTTAATACCTGGGTGATGAAATAGCATGTACAACAAAACCCTATGACATGTGTTTACATATGTAACAAACCTTCACATGTACCCCCAAACCTAAAATAAAAGTTTAAAAAAAAATGCTTCAGGCTCCTCAGTAATTTTTTTTTTTTTTTTTTTTTTTTGAGATGGAGTCTTGCTCTGTTGCCCAGGTTGGAGTGCAGTGGCGCGATCTTAGCTCACTGCAACCTCCGCCTCACAGGCTGAAGTGATCCTTCTGACTCAGCCCCCCTAGCAGCTGGGATTACAGACACACGCCACCACACTTGGCTAATTTTTGTATTTTTAGTAGAGATGGGATTTCGACATGTTGGCCAGGCTGGTCTCAAACTCCCGACCTCAGGTGATCCAACCACCTTGGCCTCCCAAAGTGCTGGGATTACAGGTGTGAGCCACCGTACCTGGCTGGGATACTCAGTAATTTTTAAGAGTATAAAGGGGTACGGAGACAAAAACGTTTGGACCCTGCTGTCGTATAGTCTTTCCAACACACCACAGCCTTCTAAGAAAAGGAAAAATGACGCAGGATGACAGGAGACATGAACACCACTTACAGCAAAACGGCCTCGTTTACAGCCTCAAAGAACTCTGGCTGGAGGATTTCCTGAGGTTCGTGTCCGTGACAGATGAGCAAAGCCTCCACCAGGGGGTCAACATCTGGCAGGGTAATAAGTGGGACACAGACTCGTGACAGGGACGCCAATCGCTCGGGAGTCATTCTATGGAAGAAATAAGAAATAATCACCCAAATCTAAGAGCCACGCATAATTAAGGACATATAAAACCTTCATGCTAAAAAGGTCAACAACAGATCACCTGTTTTGCCTCTAAATAAAGAGAATAACTCTAACACCATCGATGAACACTTCTCTTTTATCCAATTCTTTAGGAAGACATCTTTTAGCTGCCAATGCTGTTTCAGTGTCATTCATGGTCAGGACTTTGTTCTTTATATCCACAGGCACTTAATATGTCCAAAACACAACTCCTGAAATCCCTTCCCAGTGTTCCCTTTCCCCAGTGCCATCTCGTTTGCTCAGGCCCAAATGCTGATTCCTCCCTTTCTCTCAGGCCCCTCATCTGATGCACCAGTGAATACCAGCAACACGTCCGACCTCTTCTGAACGCCTCCATCACTGCCCTCCTACGTGGAGAGTAACCCACCACCTCCAGCCTCTGGACTTCTTGCTTCTGCACTCACTCCTGTAGTTTAACATCAGAACACTTCCAGCACCCCTTTAAAAATTCAGATCACAACACTTGTCTGCTCAAAGCTTTGCAATGGCTTCCCACCTCATGCAGAGAATAAGCAATGTCTTTCACTAGCCAGCAAGTCCTTCCGTGGTGGGTTCCCGTCTGTTTCACTGACTTCATCTCCTTCCACTCTTACCTTTGTCTTTTCTGCCTCTGACTGCCCCAAGTAAGGTCCTGCGGTCCCCAGTTGCAGCTCAAATGTCCCTTTGTTAAGTGAGGTCTTCTCTGATCATCCCATGTCACTATACTGTCTACCATGTGTGGCAATTTAAATGTAAATGAATTAAAATGAAATTTAAAATCCAGCTCAACTGCACTAGTCACAGCTGAAGTGCTCAACAGCTATGGGCGGCTGGCGGCTAGAGTCCCGAACAGCACACACATACAGGATGTGCCTGGGACCATGTACAGGATGCGCCTGGGACCACACAAAGCACCGCTGGACACTGGAGCTTCACGCGCTCTCCTACCCGTGCTTTACTTCTCTTCCTGGTACCTTTCACCATCTGACCTATACGGTATTCCCTTGTAGTACTCATGGTTCGCTTCCTCCTGAGAGGGCAGAAGTTCTACGATGGCAGGCAGCTTCTCCTACTTTGCCCACCACTCTATTCCGAGCACCTAGGGATAACTCCTCACACACAGCACATACTCAACAAATCCATCTCCAGTGCAGTGAACGATAAATAAAATGAAAGTTCTGGGTGGACCCTATTCAATGTTTTTCCATATGTAATTGTAAATATAGAAATTTAGTCTTGTGTTTTGTGAAACACAAATGGCACCACAGTGTAGAGCATATAGCTGTCCCTCATTCTTAAAAACTTGCTGCCTATTATTAAAACACACGTGTTCTGTAATTTAACAATGCCACTATCAGTAGGCACTGAGGCTGTTTCTTGTTTTTCACTATTCAAACAGGGCTGTGGCACTACCCTTGCCCATGCCTGTCTGTGCCCACGTGTGAGAACTTGCATATTAAATTGCCTTCCAAGGCCAGGGGCGGTAGCTCACACATGAAGTCCCAGCACTTTGAGAGGCTGAGGCAGGCAGATCGCTTGATCCCAGAAGTTCAAGACCAGCCTGTGTCACATGGAAAAACCCTATCTCTACAAAAAATACAAAAACTAGCTGGGTGTGGTGGTGCATGCCTGCAGCTGCAGCTACTCGGGGGACTGAGGTGGGAGGTTGCTCGAGCCCAAGAGGTCAAGGCTGCAGTGAGCTGTGTTCACACCAATGCACTCCAGCCTGGGAGACAGAGCGAGACCCTGTCAAAAAAAACACACACACACACACACAGACACACACAAAAAAATGCCTTGCAAAAGACCAATTTACTTTTCCACCCCTTCCAATGATATCATTGTTTCTATTTCTCAAAAATTTAATGAACAAAAATTGCTATTTCATTGCCTTAATTTGCATTTTCCTGATAACTTGTGAGACAGTAATTGTTACCCGCTTGTATTTACTCTTCAGAGAATTTGTTTATATGTTTGCGTATCATTGTCCTATTTGTTCATTTAATACCTATTTATTGATCCCCTATTGTAGTCAAGGCTCTGTTTGAGGTGTACGTGATACAGATGCAAAGATGACAAGGTCTCATCAGGGACAGGAGCAATATAATGCCAGATGATACTGAGTATCATGCTGAAAAGAATACTCAGAAGTGACAGAAATTTACCAAGAAGGTGACATGTGAGCAGTGCTCTGAAGGAAGTACATAAACAAGCCACGTTTGTATCTGGGAGGAAAACACTGCAGACAGATGAAAAGCAAATGCAAAGGCCCTCAGCATCTGAAAACAGCGAGGGGACCCACGTGGTCACACCCAGTGAACCAGGGAGGATGGCGGAAAGGCTTCTGTAGATCACTGTAGGGGGCCTGCATATTCTTTTTTAAAAAACTTAAGTTTTCATTTTTATGAAAATAAATGCAACTATATTTTTTAAATTTAGAATATGTATTTACTTTTAAATTTTTATTTCAATAGCTTGTGGGTAAAATTAGTTTTTTGTTACACAGATGAATTGTATAGTGGTGAATTCTGAGATTTTTTTTTTTTTTTTTTTTTGAGACGGAGTCTCGCTCTGTTGCCTGGGCTGGAGTGTAGTGGCGCGATCTTAGCTCACTGCAAGCTCCGCCTCCCGGGTTCCCGCCATTCTCCTGCCTCAGCCTCCCGAGTAGCGGGGACTACAGGCGCCCGCCACCTCGCCCGGCTAATATTTTTGTATTTTTTAGTAGAGACGGGGTTTCACCGCGTTAGCCAGGATGGTCTCCATCTCCTGACCTCGTGATCCGCCCGTCTCGGCCTCCCAAAGTGCTGGGATTCCAGGCTGAGCCACCGCGCCCGGCCGAATTCTGCGATCTTAATGTGCCCTTGCCCGAGTAGACTGCACCTAATGTGTAGTTTTTATCACTAGCCCCCATCCCACTCTCTTCCCGCTTCTGAGTCTCTGAAGTCCATTATGTCACTGTATGCCAGCAATGTCCAATCTCTTTGGCTTCCTTCTTTTTGGAAAAACAATTGTCTTGGGTTACACACTCAATACACTAATACCAACGATAGTTGATGCGCTTAAAAAAAAATCGCAAAAAAACTCAATGCTTTAAGGAAGTTTACAGATTTGTTTTGGGCAGCATTCAAAGCTGTCCTGGGCCGCATGCAGCCATGGGCTCGACAAGCTTGCTGTGTGTCTCTGTGTACTCATAGCTTAGCCCGCACTAATAAGTGAGAACATAACAGTTTGTGATTTTCCACTCCTGTGTTACTTCACTTAAAATAATGGCCTCCAGCTCCATTCAAGCTGCAGCAAATGATATTATTTTGTTCCTCTGAATGGCTGAGTAGTGTATATATACCACATTTTCTTTATCCACCGATTGGTGGTGGATGGGCACTTATGTTGGTTCCACATCTTTGCAATTGTGAACTGTGCTGCTATAAAACTACATACGCAAATGTTTTCATTTTTTTCTATAAAGACACCTTTTCCTTTGGGTAGATAACCAGTAGTGTAATTGTTGGATCAAGCAGTAGATCTACTTTCAGCTTTGTAAGGAATCTCCACACTGTTTTCCATAGAGGTCGCACTAATTTATATTCCCACCAGCAGGTATGTGTTCTCTTTTCCCCACATCCATGCCAACATCTATTGTTTTTTGACTTTAAAAATGGTCATTCTTGCAGGAGTCAGGTGGTATCTCATTGTGGTTTCAATTTACATTTCGCTGATGATTCGTGATGTCGAGCATTTTTTCATATGCTTGGCCATTTGTACATCTTTTGAGAAATGTCTATCATGTCCTTTGCCCACTGTTTGATGGGATTGCTTTTTTCTTGCTGATTTTAGTTCCTTGTAGATTCTGAATACTAGTCCTTTGTCAGACGCATAGTTTGCAAATACTTTCTCCCACTCTGTTGGCTGTTTTCTCTGCTGATTATTTCTCTGATGTAACTACTTTAAATGGTCAGTCATTCAAAGCTAATGAAAACAGCAGCTTCTGAAAGGGCATTCCCATCCCCATTTTCTGATATCCAGAAATAACTACGTTCAACCCTAATTAATTCTTTAGTACTTCAGTGTGTTGTCTGCTGTTCAATACAAATTGTAACTTCAAATTTGTAGCGGGAGGGCTGGGTGTGGTGGCTCATGCCTATAATCCTAGCACTTTGAGAGGCCGAGGAGGGCAGATCACCTGAGGTCAGGAGTTCAAGACCAGCCTGACCAATATGGTGAAACCCCACCTCTACTAAAAATACAAAAATTATCCAGGCAGGGTGGTGGGCGCCTGTAGTCCCAGCTACTCAGGAGGCTGAGACAGGAAAATTGCTTGAATCCAGGAGGCGGAGGTTGCAGTGAGCCGAGATCACACCACTGCACTCCAGCCTGCTGTCTCAAAAAAACAAAAAAGAAAAGAAAAATTGTAGTGGGAGATCCATCAGATTACGGAGAAAAGAGAAGTCCAGGATGTTTCTGATAGGAACGTAAATAAATAAGCACAAACACTTTGGAGAACAACTGGTAGCAACGTGCTACCATTTCTTCTTACAGGTTAGGGAGACAAACAGAACTGTTTGTAAAAGGTAGATTCGATCTTGCTGTGAATTTGTACAGAAATGAATAAATGATGATTTATTTACAGAATGGAATGCTATATGGCAGTTTAAATGAATAAACTAGACCTACATTATCTGAATATGTAAATCTCAAAAACTGAATGAAGAAAGCAGGTTACATAAAGATATCCACAATACACCATCCTTATGTAAAGTTTTTTTTTTTTTTTTTTTTTGAGACGGAGTCTCGCTCTGTCACCCAGGCTGGAGTGCAGTGGCGCAATCTCGGCTCACTGCAAGCTCCGCCTCCCGGGTTCACGCCATTCTCCTGCCTCAGCCTCCCGAGTAGCCGGGACTACAGGCGCCCGCCACTGCGCCCGGCTAATTTTTTTCTATTTTTTA